GGCCTCTGAGGAAAAACAATAGAGCCAAGAGAGATTCACGGGGGGAAAAACATCAAATCTAACCTCTAAGCTTGAGAATATTAGGCATTTATACAATGTAATTGACTCAGTTTGTTCTGGATGCCTCTGTGCTGTATGTGATGATTGGATTGATCCACTGAGGCCCTGTGGCAAAATAGCAGCTTATTAGAATTTGGAAATTAAAAAGGGAGAAATGTGTATAGCAATGAAACACTGGAGCTTAAGAGTCTTGACACATAAAACAAACATGCCACACTAAACACATCTTTTTTTAAATATATAGGGTATTTATTTGTCTTCATCTGAGTATCGCAGTTTACTTTGAAGCTGTCTGTGCCTGTAGGGTTCAAGCTGAAGTTGAGGACATGTGTTTGAACTGCCAGTGTCTCACCTGGTGTTGATACAGACATGCACAAGGTTAGTCATCTATTATGGATGACCAGCACACAGCCAGCGGAGGACACTGTGGTCACCTTGTTGGATGCGAATGCATGGGGAGAAGCTTTGAACCTTCCATGAGGAAAACCTCCAACTGAAAAATAAACCGGCTAAACTACTGAAAATTCATTCGTGTTGTTCCATATAGTCAGAAATAATCCGTAATATTATAGCTCACTTGGAGTCAGGGGGAAAAAAAAGTTCCTGTGGCTTCAGATCCCAACTTTGCTGCAGTCCATTGAACCCGATTGCCTTTTAGGATCAGACCCATAATAAGCCTGGCTTATCCTCAAGCTTTAAAATGATGGAGTCCCCCCCAACAACCACCCCACCCTCCTTCTTAGGTATAAACAGTCTCACGGTGTGGTGTAGTGGCCAAGCAATGAACTGTGGCTAATTGGACATTCCTGGCTGAGCTGAACTGGCTAAATTGTGCAGACCTGGGACTAATTTCAACTAATTTCATGAGTCTGGTAAAAAGATAGCACTGTAAGGCAAATATGAATTTTGCAACCACAGGATACACTTTCTGCGGGCCTGTGGAAAGAATGCAGACGCTTCCAAAGTCGATCTTGTATATACTTATTATGACATCATCAGGCTAAACTGTTGATTTTCTTTTACAACCTCGTTTGTCCACATGGAGATCAGACTTAAGACTGAGGTCTGCAGTCATTAGACTGCAAAATTAGGAATTTCAAAAACCTACATCGCCTTGTTCTCAAGTTATTGCAATCACAAGATTTTCAGAAACCCTGACCTTTAGGTCGAGGTCACTGTGATTCGAACTCGAGATTTCTAGTAGATACACCCACGGTATCAAATTGAAACGTCACTTCATTCTCGAGTTTTACAAGCCCGGGTGTCCACGCCCCCCCCGCAGGAGGACGACAATACCCCGACATCTTTTACAGCTGAGGGGTAAAAAGCGAACAAGCACGTATGTACAGTGGGGCAAAAAAGTATTTAGTCAGCCACCGATTGTGCAAGTTCCCCCACTTAAAATGATGACAGAGGTCAGTAATTTGCACCAGAGGTA